AGCCAGAACAGGTGACAGTCATAAAAATTCCTTTCAGATAAGGCAAAGAACACCAAAAAGTAAATCTGCAGAGAGGACTCTGGACTCTGACTTCAGCTTTCAGAATTAAAGATTGTTAAAAACAAACAAGCAAGCAAACAAACAAACAAAACCCAAATCAAAACAAAACAAAACTGGGAATGTTCCCTGCTGAAAAGATCATTCTTAAATACTTGTAGAATAACACACCTTTCTCTACACCTCTTGCAGCAGATTTGCAGCTAAGGAGAGCTCACACAAAAGATATTATTGCGTTACTAACCTTGGCTAACCAAACGTAGGAAGCAAGACTTTGCTTTAGGTAATTTCTGCTCACTGACAAGAAATTCTCTTTGAAGACATTCCAAAAGAATAGTCAAACTCATTAATCTCAAGAACATCTCCAAGCATTCTGAATAAACAAATTCTTTAGAAATATAATATGAGGTAGCTGGAGGTATGCAAAACCTCATTGATTTTTAGTTTGATATTAAATCTCTTTGCAATTATCTAGCTCTTCAAGTTAGAGGTGGTAGAACAACTATCATTATCTTCTTTAACTAGAAGATGAAATAACTTGTGTAGCAGCTAACCAAAAGATTGCAAGAATTGAGTAGCGTCGTCTAAGGACAAAAACAAGCACAGAAAAAAAAAAAATTTGAGCTACTTGAATTTCACAGCTTTTCATTTTACATGTTTCCAGGGCAGATTTGCTGCCATTCTATTTCCTTTAATTTTCAGATCTGTCCATTGTAATCTGTTTTGTTTAAATGAATATTTTCAAACTGCAAGCCAGAAATTGCATGAATTATAGAAAGTCAATATGTTTTTACTTGAAGTTAGTATTTTCTTACAGATATTTCTAAATATATGTATTTTGAAAAAGCTCTTTCTTTAAGAATGTTTTCTGCTGGGTGGATCACCTGAAAACCTGAAAATTAAAAAAAAAAAAAAAAAAAGAAATAAAATTATTACAAGTTACTCTAAAGAATTCCAATGCTTCTACAGAAAAGGCTTTAATATCAAAGAGGCAGAGAAAAAAAAGGAGGAGAAATTCACGAAGCTGCTTGATTAAGACTGCTGCATGCAGTTTCTTACCATCTGTTTTGTTCTTACTTTTAATGCAGCATGGTTTCCTTCTTTTTACACTCCAATTTGTTTACATAGATTTCCATCACTCACTGGGAAAGTCCTGCTTTCACTTTGTTGCTAGTGATAAGGAAAACTGTATTTATAAGGCAGCCTAAGAAATCAAAACATAAACTCAAATTATTGATTTTTAAGGGATCTTAAAGGACATTACAGCTGTGATTTCGTAACCAATGGCAAATTTATACTATGGGCTAATAACAACTTTAATGTCCAAAACATTTAAAATCTTTCATCTACTCCAAGTACTTTGAAATGACAGTATTACCTTCTCTAGGTACTATGAAAGAAAGTTTTCTTGTTTATACAGATGCAAAATTCTTCAACCTGTATTTGCCTAAGAAGTTGGCTAAACTAAATTATCACTGTGTGTGCACCAGATTCTTGAGATAATGTTGTTTTTTTTTTTTAAGGTAATTTAATTATTTCCAAACACAAGCATTCAAAAGTCATGAACCATGCATAACAAAAACCATAATGAGGATGAAGATGATGGTTCTCTGGCATTTAAGTCATTAGGATTTGTGAATATGTGTGCTTAATGGAAAAAAAAAAAGTCTTTTTACATGATTCTAGTAATGAACAGTTAGTCACATTTCATTAGTGAGAAATTAGGAAACATGAAACTGAATTCCATTCCAAGTTATGCTAAAGTGATTCAGGGCTTCGTTCTGCAGGAGATGTTAACTTCACTGGATGGCTCAGTACTCTTCAGGACTGAAATATGAGAGGATCTTCTCCAGCTATAACTCTGAGTCTACCACATCTCTCTATGTAGCAGCATACACAGGTGCATTGAAGATAAATTCAAATACAACATAATCTGTTTAACCATCACGGTCTTGGAAATGAATATTTTTAATATTCCCCAAGTGAAAGAGGCATTATATTGTCAAGATTTAAATATTAATGGCAAAAATGGAAGAAAAAACTAAAAAATTAAGAAAAAAACCCTGTAAGTGGTTCCTTGCCTGCAGGAAATACTAACTTTTCTTTTTCTAAACAGTAAATACAATAACAGCTAAAACAAAAAAATAAAAAAAAAAAAGATTTTATTGTGGATACAACTTTCTATTGTATTCTAACACTTCACTGACATATGCACGCAAAGCAGTTCCTTATTCCTCCCATTACCTGTCATTCTACAGATCATGTAGTTTGATCGTAGTGTTCAACATTTGATGATGGGCTGAATTAGCTCTATCACATAAGGATTTTATTTTTCAATAGAAAGCAATATTTTACTGTATCTAAGAGAGTAGTCAATGAGATGTCATGTTCAAATGCCAATTTCAGACTGGTTTATTTGTATTTAAATGTTCCTAGACTACATGGACACTATTATGATTTCTTTTGCACAAAACCAAAAAACTTCATCTATAATCAGAAGTGCAACTTGTTAGTACACGTTGTTATACAGCCTTTATTTTGATACTTAAATGACTCCTCCACTGTTAACACTAGAAGCAAAAGAGATCCCTTCCTACGAGTACTGACACAAAGTGCTTGAAGTGTTAGTCTGAAATGGACTTATTAACAACGTACTATTCTGACCTTGGAAGACTTCTTTTAAAAACAGTGAGCTCTGAAGGGAGGTAGAATGATTTTTTTCTCTTTGTGGCACCATTCAGGAGAGGTGGATGATTATGTGAACTGGATCTAAACATTTTTTCCTAGTTGCCAATATGACACCTTGAGCCAAACAATGGTTGCTGTGTCACATCTTTCCTCTTTCAATGACCAGAAAAACTCAAATATAATAGAATAACAAACAACGCACTGCTGGAATACTCATCTTGGGCCTGCTCACCTCTGCACAATGACCTTCACTAGAAACCAGTGAACTTTTCTCTAGCACTTTTGCATAGAATGCTCAACTTCTGGTTCTTCAAAGTTCTTCTGGCTCTTCGAATCTTCAGGTTGATTCTCTAGGCTCCAAGCCACTCTTCTGTATTTTCATAGTAAACACAGACTAATCAGACCATAGAAATTAAGCAGAAATTCAAAACTAATGTACTCATAAAAGTATGCCTTTTTAGAAAAATAAAATTTGTTCTGAAAGATAAATAGAAACAAAAAATGAAAACATCTCAGTTTCACTTTCTCTAATTCTAGAATTATCCTTGAAAGGATTCAGTGCAGACACCTTTCTGATGGCCTCTTTTGTGCATAAATGCGAAGCTTCCTCTATGCGCACTTTACAAATAATATCCTTATTCTAAAATTAACTTATGCCATGGAAATTTTAAAAGTAATTCTTTAATTTTAAAAGTAATTCTTTAAAGAACTCTTTAAGAATTACATTAATAGAAGTTTTGAGAAAGTTACTGCTATTTCAGCCTACAGCTGCCTGTTGTAGTAAATATGAAATGCCATCTTCCTTAAATGCACACACAAGTGAATTTTAGGGTCAGAGTTGTATCACACAAAAGGACACAAAATGCTTTGAAGGAGAAACTGTCTACAGGGCTTCTCATCACGAATTTCAGTCTCATGAGAGTTTTCCTCTTCTCACCACTTCTAGCCTTTATTCCATCTCTTTATGTTTTCTTCCAATTTGTAAACAGTGTATGTCCAAGTGCCTTGATTTTAATGAAGTGTGGCAGCAGTATTTGATTGGAATTTAGATAGATGAGCAGATAAATCCATGTTTGTTCTCTGCAAGTTTGTATGTATATATATGAAAATACTAAAGATGTAGCTAGACAAAGACACCCAAGGCTGATCTTTGCTATCATGTGTTATGATTTTGCATTCTCTTTCCCTTCCCTCAAAACTAAATAATACTATGTGATCAGCAAATTTAATTATGGGATTCCACTACTGTTGAAATAAAAGTATTATCTATAATCTCATGTGGAGTATTGTGGAGAATGATATAAGAGTTGTATAGAAAAGTCATGAAAAAAATGTGCTTATATGAAAAAAAAAAAGGACTTTGTCCTGAGCAAAAGAATTGTAATTGTTATTTTTATAAATACCATCTTGTATTATTACTGACAATACTTCAATAGTTTGAGATTTTGAGGATAAAGCAGTAGCATACTAGTTACTATGCATAAGAAGAAAAAAATCTTGCACCAAATGATTTACAAGCTAACTGAACTCAAGGAACCCTTTATTTTACAGATAGAGCAGGTGACTTTTACAAGGGCACATCAGAGAAGCTGAAAGTAAGCAATAAAACCTCTCTGCTCTAGCACCCTTTTCTGAGTCATAAGATCACATCATTACTATCCTTCCTTTCTTGTCAAGCAACATAAATATCTCCATCACTCTCCACTCACTGTCAGAAAGTGTATGGATGGGTAAAAGTTTGTGTGATCACTGCTTTGCTTGCATGCAAACCCATTTTTGTGCACTTCCAAGACTTGAATTGAAACAATTTACAGACCACTGCAATGGTTCAAGCGTCGAGGAACAATCAAATATCTGCAAGTGCCTTGTTTTGTTATGAGACTGATGTTGGAATTAAAACAGAAAAATACTTTAAATTATAGTATCTCTTCAGATAACATTAGCTGTGAGTACATGAGTTCAAATTGCACAGCTAAATCCTGCACAAATGTTCTGTTCACTGGTTTTGTTGATAAGAGACACAGCAAAGACCTCTCTGGTGTTTTCAAAACACTTCCCAGGCTGAACAGGTGGCATTGAAGGTGTTCTAGGTAAAGGAAAGGACTAGTTGAGGCTGGCTGTGGCTGAGGAGATATGAAACCTCCTGGTTTGGGGTGTAGGAAGCAAGTGTAGGTGTCGGGGTGTAGGAACAGGTAGGTGTAGGCCTACCTGTTACCAGGGAGGTGGCTCATGGGCTGCCTACCAGGAGCCTGAGCATGACCGAACAGACACCGCTGACACCAGCCCAGACCGCTCCGTCCTCTGTGGAAGGTGAGGCTTCTGCAGAGGAGCTCCCTGCTGCTTTTTGGACCTGGGTATCAGATTCCATTTTCTTCTTGGAATTTTCTGGAAGATATCTTCCAGAATCTGTTGCTAGCAAGAGCCTGTGATGTTACTCAGAGCACGGTGCTTCCGGGACTGTGCACACGACTGAGCTTTTATCTATTATTTACTTAGCAAATGAGGACCTAATTAAGGGCCCACTGAGCTCAGTGGGAAAAAGTGATACTGCCTTTGGATCAGGTATTGAACTGCTCTGAAATTATCTATCTGTCATTGGATATAACATATATAGAATCATAGAATGCCCAAGGTTGGAAGGGACCTCAGAGGTCATTGAGTCCAACCCCCCTGCACACGCAGGGTCACCTAGAGCACGTGGCACAGGGCTGCATCCAAGCGGGTTTTAAAGATCTCCAAAGAAGGAGACTCCACAACCTCTCTGGGCAGCCCATTCCAGTGCTTTGTCACCCTCACAGTGAAGAAATGCTTGATAATAATCACTTTTAAAAATACTGCCCAAAGAAACTGTGCAGAAAGACATCATAATTTTCTCTCTTGTGCCCCAGAATTTATTAATAACTGGCTACTGTGTATACATTTCTGGCAAGCGCTACCGTGTTAGTGACAATTGGTGACAGATGATAGCAAACCTTTGATCCATGACCTGAGAAAAGTCTTGATGGAATTACTACAGCTCAGAGACTTGCATGGATCTACTTCTTCTCAGGAAACAGATTCAAAGCCTAAGCCCTGCAACAGAATAATGAGCATATGGTACCAATGAAAATACATAAAAAAGGAAGCAGAGCATGATGGCACTTGCTTTCAGATTACTTTAGGGCCTAACCAACTTCAATTAGAAGACACTGTTTGTTGCTGAGTTCAAAAGGCCTTGGGTAGACTTTAGCTAACCAACTTGTGGGAATTTTTTTTTCTGAGTAACAATGTGTTATTTAACAGAAGTATCCAAAGCAGGAGGACACCAAACTTAAATATATTGTCATATCGTATAGCAATTCCTGAATCAGAATGCTTCTCTTTGTGTCTAGGAGCAAGAACATTGATAAGATTCTGTAAAAGAGACAAAGTCAAGCTCTGGGGAAAATAAATAAATAAATAAACAAATATTTAAATAAATAAAATAGGCTAATTACATATTACAGAGTTGTAACGTAGCACAGTATCTGTGTAATGTGATTTTTTTTCAAAGAGGGCTGCAAAAGGCAGCCTTACAAGTATATTTTGCCAGATGCACGTCACCAATTGCAAGTCTGATTGGGCCTGCAGCTGTGCAGGCAGGCAAGCAGAGCTGGCAGGTCGTTGCTGCAGAGGGGAGGAGGTCCTTGCTTCCCTCCCTCCTTGCACACATGCTGCCTCCTCTGTCCTATCCAGGGCAAATTCCCTTTCCCTCCAGTCCAGCTGCATTGTCCTGCCCTTTCTCTCAACTCACCCACTGATTTAGCTCATTGAAATGACAGAAAACTGCTCAGTGGTTTTCCTGGGTTTGTTTTCTGCAATTTTAGTTAAACCAGCTCACAGAGGTTTTTGACAAGCGCTGAAGCTGGCACAAGACTAGCAGCAGGAGCAAGTGGCTGGAAACAGAGGGAACACAGAGGCATGGAAAGGGAAAACGTAACCTCTGCTTTCAGCAATCTTGTCAGCAAAAGCACATGGTCCTGTACCCAACTGTTGGAAGAGCCTTTAGGACCTGGCTTCATATAAAGGGAAGAATAGTCCCCTCACTTTAGTCATTTGCTTCTGTAAACTCCTATTTAAAGGTTGTTTGCAGAGAGATTAAATATATAAGAACAAGTGTTGGTAATAGAGTTGTTCAGAGTACAAAACTCTCAAAACCACTTTTCCAAGGGTGAACATATCCTCCACCTCAGCAATGTTCTTGGATCATTCACAGGGAAACTGAAGATGTTTGAATAGTTGCCCAGTGAAAAACTCAGCTGGCCTCCTTACTTCTTACCTTTACTTACCTCTACTTACTTCTTTCCACAAATGCTGTCCAACAAAGCATATTGCAAATACATGAACAGTGAAGTGGCTGTTCAGTTTTCAAGCTTGTACTTGTAGGAGCTTGTACTTAGGCAATGAATGCAAATATTTTCTCAGAATTTAGCAAAGAAAGAATAATATTTCCCCCTGTGATGGGGGGAATTCATACGAGTGAAGTGCGTTTGTCACTCACCCTTGCCACCACTCGTTCCGTGACACCCCCCAACGAAAAGGAAAAGGAAAAGGAAAAGGAAAAGGAAAAGGAAAAGGAAAAGGAAAAGGAAAAGGAAAAAAAGAGATCAAGAGAAGTAATCTGAAATAACTGTCTTAACAGGAAATCCTTGGAGAAGTAATCAGAAGCAATATTTTACATCAATGTAGACACCTAAGATTAGACTATAAACTCCACACCTACATTTTATCTTGATGACTTATGGCCTGTAGAACCTCCCTAAGGATTGCAGAAGACGAAGAAATAAAAACTGTGACGGGGTGTATAAGAATAGTTTATTTACTTTGTAGTTTGCCTTTTGAATGCAGAGAAAAACAGAAGTTCCCACTTCTATATTAAACAGAAGGTCTTTCCTTTAAATGTTTTAAGATCAAGCATTGAAAGTAAATCACCCAAGTGCAAAAAAAGAGACTGAGAGGCATATTGGCTTTATCGGCCAGAGGTAGAGCAGGAAATACATTATTAAATATCACCATCTACTGGACGTAGATGGTGATATTTACTCCTCACAAAGGGGTTCTTGTGGTGAACCAGCTTGTTAGACAGCCCTCTACTTTTGCAGATCTGACACTGCTCTTGCAATTGTTAGCAAAACAATTGGAAAATTGTTGGAAAAGTTTGTCAGTATTACAAAAACAAACACAAAAAGCTCTGGGTGATATAATACAGGTAGTTAAGATGTGCTAAAATGTTGACGGCCTTCCTCTTCCCTTCTCTTTGCTTTCTCCAAGGCTTCATTTGACTGCATGCACACATCCAGTGACCCAAGCCACCACAAATAAATAATGCTTTTAGAGAAATTACTTAGAAAAAGTGGATGAGGTATAAGCATCTTTGGAAAGATGCAAGGAAAAGCTACAAGAACTGTTCAAAGACAACGTCCCTAACCTCTAAAGACATCACTAGAATTTATCACAAAGGGAATGGCTGAATAACATTTGGAAACAAAATATTTAAGTTTATGGAGAATGTTTTAATGCATTGTTCCATAACTCATAGACAAATTATTTCTTTAAAGAAATCAGTGTGATTAAAAATTTTTCTGAATCTCTCTCTTCCAAAGGACATTTATAATAATAATGCTAAATGTGCATGGGTTTTTGGTAAACTTGCATGAGGAAAATACTCAAAATGTAAATTCTGAGCTGTGAAAAGACAACAAATGGGAAAGATTTCCTAGTTTCTAACTTAATTTCATTTTTACTTTTTAATTGATAGAACATTGCTGAAATTGTATTCAAAGCACAAAAGCAAGGTGCTGTCTCCTGTTCGTGTTGACAAATGCTGAAGATGACTTCTCTTTGTAGTAGCTATAGAGCAACAAACAAATATAAGGGTAGCTTTATGGAGGGACCAACTTTTCCTTAAGCATTGACTCTCTTTGATCAACTGCCTCTAAATAACTGGCTATAACTTTTAGTAGTGTAAAATATCCAAAGTCCTTTGAAAGACATGAGCTGCATCAGTTTATGCCATTGAGGATCTGGCCACTTCCTTTAAAAACGCAATTAACATAACACATACATTGAAAGATCTGTAAGTGCATTCGGAGAGAACTAGGTGTTAAAGCTTACCAAATGATCCAGACATCAAAACCATATCATAGCCACCAGGTAGGTGATTTGTTTGGGGAGGATATGAGGTGAAAAAGTTTCCAACAGTTATGTCAACATCATGAAGTTACACAGGAACAGATCAATAATAAATTGTGTTTCTATTGCTTCATTTATCTTCAAAATATTTTTCAGTTCAACATACAGAATCCCTCATGTTATTGGCAAGCCATTTTGGTATAAATAAAACTGATTGATAAAACCAAAAATATTTGGTTTCTGCGTGCTGCTTTGACAAACAGTTAAAAGAACAAAGCACTAAGATGAAATGGTGTAATATCTGACTGCAGTTATAAAATATATTTCATATGTAAATTATGGACAATTACTCTACTACACAGCAGAGCACATGTGTCAGAGAGTTCTATCCAGGTTGCAAAAAAGAATCTGATGATTTTTAACATGGTTACACCACACAAAACTCAACTTAAACTAAGTGAAACTTCCTCTGATCCCACCACAGACAAGGAAGAGAAATTGATTGTCCAGAGGATGATTTGTTACAGTTGAGTAATGTAGTTGGTATGATTTATCTCTGTGAGACCCCTTTTTATCTCCTCTCTTTACAAAGGGAGATTGAGGTGAAAAATTAGACTTGGAAATCTAATTCTGAGACAAAGGTAGACAAAATATATCCCATGCTTCTTATCCAGGGACAAAGCAAATATCGTGACTGCTATAAAAAAAATATAAAAATAAAGTCTATATTTTTGGGGGATGGGAGAATAATGAAACAGATTCTGTGAATGGATCTGGTAGAACAGTTTGATTTTAAATAGCATCTATATTTCACTCAATAATGAGTATCATGGTAGGATGTGAGTTCTCAATGCACACAATGCCATACTGCATGGGCACCTGCAGCTCTCCATGTCGCATTCTGTAGGGCTCTGACTAGCTGTACTCTACATCCATCCCCTCCCTGCCTTCTCTGAAACGGAGAGGGCAAAAATCATGCCTCTTGGGTAGACTGAGCACTGGGGATCCGAAGAGACACTTAGACTGTCTACATGACTCAGATTTGGGTGCCTTTCTCTTGCTTCAGCAAAAGCAAGGATACATAGGGCTGCTACTCAAAGGTGCTTCGGGAATCTCATAAATGGAGTATGTGAGGGGGTGGTTTCGTGCTGGGCTGTTATGCCTCAGGATGGGAGGAGAGGAGGAAGAGGTCCCAGTGTCCTCTGGTTCACTTTATTCTGCAGCTTGCGCCAAGGAATAAAGACACCCAAACCTCAAATGTGGAATTAGTGATGAGAAAGACAAAAATATTACCTTTGACCAGCACAAAGTGCCTGCACCTCTCTCAGCTTATTTCCAAACGGCATACAGTGCTTTACATTAGCAGTGTCAGGATATGTTCAAGCAGTGTTTCCCATCCCTATGTCTCAGGCACTGTTCAGCAAAAACTAACACCTTGACTATCACAGGGAGTGAGAACTCTGTTCTCAGATAAAAACCTGAAAACATAAAAATTAGCTCTTCTCAGCTATATTGGTACATATTTGATAAACAGATGAAATAATCTGGGGTAGTCTTTGGGAAATTATTTTCTTTCTTACTACATCACTCATGTAAATATCTATATTTAAGTGAAATATGAACTAGCATGCTCTAAAGTTACTGCTTCTTTGGCTTCTAAGTCACATTGGTAGTCACACAAATGTAGAACATCCACCTCTCTGTAATTAGCTACATGCAATAGGATTAGATTAGCTACATGAAAAAGGATTTGAAACTGAATTTAACCTTAATGAGAGAAGGGGAGAAAATGAAAAAAAAAATCATCAGAAAGAAAAAATTCAGTCAGCAGAAATGATGGAGGATAAGATACAGTGAAGACTGCCTTGAACTGGAAGAAAATGTGTGCATACTGCCAAAAAGGTTTTCCATCCTGTAAAACTAAGAGTAGGAACACCTATCCCTCCCACCTCCCAGTAGGAGGGACAGGACCATAATGACAATAGCTATAGGCTCAGCTGAGCAGCTATCCCTATGGCTCTGCAAAGAGGTCCAGCATCAACCTCAAACTTCACATAGATTTTGTAGTCAAAGGTTTTCTTTGATTGCTGTCAGTAAACAGTTCAAACTGCCAAAGTTTTCCTTCACTTCCAAATTTATCTTTTTCTGTTATTATTTTCATTGTCAATGATTTCACACAGAACCACATTGAAACATTCTGAGTTTAATAAAGAGCACTGTCCTAGGAGGTGAGTTATTTTCATTTAATTAGTTGCATGTTACTTGGAAAAAAAAAAACCTCACCTGTCTCTATTAGAACAGATATGTTTGCCTATATACCATGGCACTGGATGAAGTCCCTGTTTTCATGCATGCTTTGAACATTTTGAACATTGCATGTTTACTTAGAAGCATGGGTCTATCTCCCTTTCTTTCTTTCCTACTGCAAATATAGCCTTAGTTTTATTCAAAGTTGATCACAGCACATGGCAATCTTCCTGGCTTTGAAAGAACAAGTAGATGTCTGTGTGAGCCAGAAAGGATTACTACATCCAGAAAAACTATGTATTAAAGAAGTTCTTAAATTTATTATTATTTTTAAGGAAAGCTAATTAGAGCAGTGCCTGGCCCTCATAAGGGACAGGAAGGGACTGCATCAAGGTAGAAAGGAGCTGGTCCTTGGACCAGAGCTGTTACTGAGTTAATCTCGGTGTTGATCATGATGGTTCTCCTGTTAGTTTAGGTGGAGATATTTTTAGGCAAGGAAGAATCCTGTCTCTTCACAAGAAGCATCACATTTAACTTCATATGTCCAGAAAAGATGTCACGGGAGATCCTTCTCCTTATGGTACTGAGGAAATACTGATCCCTGTTGGTCACATCCCAAAACTTCCAAATGAGTTACGCCGAGGATTGATGACCTGACAAAGAATTTAGCAACCTACACGTCGGGGATGCTGCACAGTAGAATCCTATGCACTCTACCTAGTACAGGTAGGGGACATGAGCAAAATAAGGAGGTTTGAGCAGAGCAGCCAGCAGCCTGCACACGGTAATAACGCGCTTGAACCTGTCCAGAGTTCTGAAAGGAATCTAGAAAACGTAACTCTTGTCAAAAGGAGAGGGGAAAAAAAAAAAAAAAAAAAAAAAAAAGAAGCATTTCCAGTGTCGCAAACCAATCCAGGGGGTCCAGAGCAACTCCCCCAGGCCGCTCCATCCCCTGCGCACCGGCAAGGCGCCCAGACGTAGCCCCGAGGGCGCCTCGAGGGGCCCCAGCAGAGCTGCCCCAGCGCCGCGGCCGGGGCGGCCTCGCTGCTGCTCCATGAGCAGAGCGGGCGGC